CCTATTTTTCATAGCGAATCGGAGCGGATTCCGGATTCCTGATAATAAATCCCAGGCCTACTTGCAGTTAGGTGTGGTTAGAGCATCTCTATCGGCAAAAATTGTAGAGATTATCTCAAAAAATAAATAAATTAATATTTTAATCAAATTAATATATTTTAATTAGTTTGAAGTAAATGAACCATTAGTTGAATGACAACTTTCAATAAATGCTGAGAATCGTCTCTCTTGGCAGAAACGTTTCTCCACTTTTCTCTCCTTCTCTCCTACTTTTTCTCTTTTTAATTATTATTTAATTGATGAGTATCTCAATCAGATACTCCGATGGAGATGGTCTTAAAAGTTATAACGGACTACGGCACTAGAAAACACTGAACCAAATACTAATATTTTATAAATTTATTATAACATGATAATTTGTATGCCGAACGTTGCGGAATATTGGTGAATCGTAACATATTTATCAAACTGCTTCTAACCCTAATTGTTCTCTCTATATTGTTGCCAAACAACACAAAGGGAAAATCAAAAGAAATGGAGGTTGAAACTGAAAAAGTGGACAAGGAGATTACAACAACAGTTTCGCCCGCGGTGATGATCGGAAATAGTCACACTCAGAGTGTAAAAGAGGAGGTGAAGAAGCAATTTTGGCTCTCTGCTCCACTCATCGGCGTTAGCCTCCTCCAATACTCTCTCCAAGTTATCTCCGTCATGTTCGTCGGTCATCTCGGCTCACTTCCTCTCTCCGCCGCCTCCATCGCCACCTCTTTCGCCTCCGTCACTGGTTTCACTTTCCTGGTTCGTGACCTCTCCTCTCTCCCTCTCTCTCTTCTCAATTTCAGTGTAATTGAATTGATTACCAGAAACTGAATCGATTTTTCCTAACAGATGGGTACAGCGAGTGCGTTGGAAACACTTTGTGGTCAATCTTACGGAGCAAAGATGTATGGAAAGCTAGGGATTTTCATGCAGAGAGCTATGTTTGTTCTGCTGATACTCTCGGTTCCTCTCTCGATAGTTTGGTTTTACACAGAGGACATTCTTGTCTTGGTTCACCAAAACAAGTCCATCGCCAGACTTGCAGGCTCATACGCTAGATACATGATTCCAAGCATCTACGCCTACGCTCTTCTTCAATGCCTAAACAGGTTTTTGCAAACGCAAAACAATGTGTTCCCTGTATTTGTGTCCTCTGGAATCACTACTT